AAAAATTACTACTTCATTCTGAATATGTGATTTAAATAATTACTTCTAGCTCTAACTTCGAAGATTTATTTTGATTTTTAAATATAGTTACATACTATTATATTTATTTTTATGTAATATAATAATGGAGGTTTATGATGGATCAATCACGGGCAAAGTGCTCGTCACTTGCAAAGGCTGGCTACACACATATTGAGCTTGACATACAATTCATCTAGTTGTGAACGCAACTTTAGTTTCTTTTGGGATGGTAACTGCTTAACCTATTTAATAATTATCCTTTTAATTCATAATTTTATTATATTTTTGAAAGAAAGACCTATGTGATCTTTTGCTGAAAAAATACAAACTTTTTTTTTTAATAATAATAATAACTCTTTTTATTTTTGGCAACAAGATAACTCATAGATGGCATTATTACAAACCATAGAAATTTCAAAATAAATAACACATCAATAAAATAAATCTCAACTACTTGATGTCATTGATACAACAAAGAACAAGTAAGTATAAGATAAAGATGCCGGTGATTACCTCAACCGGGCTTCTTACACCCCACACCGAGACATCACATCTAATAGTGCGGGATTTGCGGTCTAGCTTCAATCTCAAATCGGGAAAGCTGATTTCAGCCAACCTATGTAACCACCCTTAATTCTTCACAAAACCCAAACCTCCAAAAATAACTTAGGCTTCCCTCTAATTTCTAGAACCCTTAGTTTCTTTTTAGGTCTAGGGAGAAAAAGAGTAGTAGCTAAAGTTGGGGCGTGGCCCCTCCTTTGAAACTTTAGGATAGAGAGGGTTAGAGAGAGAAACTCAGAGGAGAGAGAGTGGGGCGTGCCCCTCTAGGAGAGAGAGAGGTGAGAGAAAGGTTATGGGAGAGAGAGATGTACGGAATATCACCCCTATTTATAGTGAATATTTAAGTTTAAGGCTTCCTAGAGTTTTCCATAGTTTGCCTCTTTCATAAGATTGAATATGTACCATTAATCAAGGTGACTTGTGGGGTGAGAGATCTGAGCCATTCATTCTATAGATGGGTCATCAACATTATGGAAGGTGCATGAACCATTATCCCCCTTTCCTTAAACCATTTTCCATCAATATATTTAGATAAAATAGATATCATGCATTTTATAAAAATAGCATGATCATATCACATATTCCATAAGGATATGGTTCTCGAGGGACCACACTCCCATTGAGTTTATGTTTTATTATAATAAAAATATTTCAATACACACTCATAAGGCCTTTAAAGGCCACATAAACCCAACAATTTTTTTATTTTTCTAGTTCTAATCATGCACCATGCTTGACCCACAGATAAATACATAGAAGAGAAGTATGATTTAGTAAAAAAAGATTGAAATATCTCATTTTTTTTTTCAATTTAATTAGAAATTTAACAAACATTGTCTGGTTCAGGATGTATTTGATCATTACTGTCAACATATGGATGATATATGCAAGTGGTTAATTGATACTGGAGATGATCCTCTATTTTTTGGAGAGGAATTGACTTGGACCTAAGTTTGAGGAACAATTGGAAGCCAATTAAGCCTTGTGAGAGCCACAAGATATCCAGGGAGGAGGATGAGGAGGAGGAAATATATTTAAAAGAGACCAAGGAAGGATGAGAATATGTGGATGGGTGAGGAGACTGTGATGATGATGGAATGGCATCATCAATTGGATGGATCTATTGGTGTTAGTCAACATGTAAACCTTGTTGGTAGTTATGATTAATCTCAATTGCCAATTTAAATATATTATATTTGATGTATTTGTTTTTATAGATAGTTAGACTTGTGGGTTTTGTTGGTTATGTAAGTTGTGAACTGTGATTTGTGACTTTTTGTTTCTGGTAACGTTGAATTGATGATCCAGAATGTTGATTGAGAATATGGGCATCTTTTGATCTTCTTTAGTTTTAGACTTAAGTAATCAAATTTCAATCAAGTCTAATCAAATTTTAATTTCAAACTCATGCGTAAAAGAGTATGAGTAATGCGAAATATTTTGGGAAAGGGGCTGCGTCGTAGTGGTAATATCCACATACCTAGCTATCACATTGTGGTTTTCATTCCCACAAACACTTTCAAAATGGTGACTCCTAATCTATTTGAAAAAAATATAGGGGCCTATCTTCCCTACTGAATTATCCAAAAAAACTTAAAATATTTTTTCTATTTTTTTTGAAAATATGGTTTTGTAAGGTCATTCTAAAGAGTTTGGTATCCTCCAAACATCATTCTTAGAACCAAGCACACACGGGTCATTAGACTGGCCACCTAAAGAATTAAGCACCTACCTAATTGTGCATATCTGACTTCTTTAGTAGTGCCTATCATCTGATCTAGAGTGGAAACTCTCGATTTTGTAATTTTAAAAGGGCAAGCTTTCTATGCTTCCCCTACAACATAAAACTTATATACTTCCCCTTATCCAACCGTCCATTCTGAATGGAGGGCTAATATTGCCCCAATCACAATGTCACCTCTCTACACTATTTTATTTTTAATTTTTTTTATAAACTATTTTGACACCAAACTAGCACAAGTGAAAAATATAAAAATAATATTTTCAATAAAATAAAAGTACCAAAACACCCTTGAAAGATTTAAGGGGTATTTTGGTCACTATATTTTATCAAAAAAAAAAATTTAATATTTTTAATAGGTGCGAGAATATGGCTTGTACAAAATTTCATATTTATACAATTTGTATAAAAAAACTAAAAAAACTTTAAGATCAAGATCAAAAGGTGAATGACTATCTTGATCAAAATTGGACGGCTGGATGATAGAGGAAGCATAGATCTTTTATGCTGTCGGGGAAATATAAAAACCTTTCCCATTTTAAAAACTTAGTACAACTACATGAACATATACTTCTATCATCCATTCACTCCATCAGTAAAACCCAATTTAGGAATACTTTTAAGACCCCATTTTAGTAGATAACCTCCTTAGCAGCTAGCACAAGGACCAACCTAGAACCGAAATAAAATCTCATATGCATGTACCAGAATAACTAATGTCCTTAGTTTAACAAAAGATCATCCAATATTTGGATAATTAGATAATAAGTGTTTGGAGATATGAATGGCTATTTGGATGCATTTTTTGTTACTAATAATTCATTGTTTCAATAAAGTTGATCCTTGATAACAAGTTAGTTGTTTGATTGTATCCATCATAAAGCAATACAATATTAATTTATATGCACTTTTACATATAAGTTTATCTTTATGAAAAGTTGTTACTACTTTATTCATAATAACTTGTTGAACATCACATTTCCTTGGTAAAAAATAATAGGAAATCATGTGAAAAGTTAAATATTTAAATAAGGGGAAAGTTTATACAAGATTGCAACCTTAAAATGTAGAAATAAAGATACACCTCAAAAATCCATTGGAAAATGTTCTTTTAATAATGAAAAACCCTCTAATTGATCATCTCAACATGGAGATGTATGAGTATATAAAAAAAAGATTTTGAGTCCTATAAATAGTGCATCTTGCAACACATTATCTAGAACATTCATTTTCAAGATTTTCATATGTTTATAGATTTACTTGATTTTAACCATTTTTGGAGTTTAAATTTTATAATTAGATACCAAAATAGATTTTCAAATGATCCTAAGAAATTTTAACACCAAAATTATATGTTATGATAAAATTTGGACGTGTGCCTGAATTGGATTGTTTAATGTTGTAACCTTATAGAAACCATACCCTTGAAATAATATTATATAAAATATAAGATACATACTAAATAACTAATGAAGTATTCTTACCCAGAGCATATATTCCATATAAGATAATATATTCTAGATCAAAATTAAGGAAAATGTTTTTGATAGGGCTGCAGGCCTATCAAAATAAGTAAAGCCTCACCTCACCCACTGAAAATTGCAGTTCTAGGGTTAGAAAACATTCAAATCGATCATCTCAACCTTGACCATTATGATTGTGAAAAAACAATAGGATTTCAAGCTCTAAAAATAATACATATTATAGCATATTATCTAAAGCATTCATTTCACCCTAAAAATAAGTGTTCACAGATATGTACCACTTTCTAATCTTCAAATTTCATAGGCAATGTTGGAAATTAATTTTAGAGCCACCACGAAGATTTTTTATATCCAAAGTGCTTTCCATATGAGGAGTCAAGGTGAGGTTTTACTTTGTTTCAATAAGCCTAGGCCCTATAGAAATTGCATCCTAAATTAATTATCACTTAAACTGGCCCTAACCATTTATCAACTCAAAATCCAAAACCTCATTTTTTTTTCTTCTTCTTGCAATGCTTGTGTCGTGATCCAGAAGTGTATCTTCGGATGGAAATAAAACCTCCAGAAGAATGATCAAAAAAAGGGCAAAAAAAAAAAATCTTGAGAAGTCTTTTGCTCGAGTGAGTAAGTATACAGTGTGCTCCCACGGGAGCACATTATACACTGGTGAGTAACAAAGACTTTGATGCGTTGCTCCCAATCTCGCATCAAATACGGGGACCCAACGTCCATTACTTAGCCGTTCGATTTGAACCGAAACACGATGATCATTCATACAACAATATCACGTCAAATACTATTTTATTTTTCATTTTTTTATAAAATAATTTTGGATAAAATTTTGGACGTCCCATTATAAACTTATAGTAGGGTGAACTTGAAAAAAAAAAAATATTTCTCATAAAAATGAAGGATTAAAATACCTCTAAAATTTTTATAGGTATTTTGGTATTTTTTTATAAAAATATTATTTTTAATTTTTTATCACGTGTGCTCTTGTCAGTCCTCTGTCCTACATTTTGATTTTAAAACAATTATAGAATAAAAATTAATCATAAAAATTATAAACCGTCCAATCAAGATTTTTAAGAGCTATGATATTATGACTCAAGCCATCTCTACCATATGCTCAGATCTAACGGTTGAGATCCAAGGTCACGTATTGAGTAGGGTGCCTTTGAAACTTTTCGCATTGCGTATAAGATCTGAAGAAACAGGCGTTATATTTAGCGCCGATCGTGAAAGAGAGGAGCGACCCATAAACCATGGCACTTCCAGGCCCTTACTCTGGCACCAGCACTCTCGCCCTGGTACTGCACCTCTCTATCTCTCTCTGGTTTTGCGTTTCTTTACCATCTACTTTCTCTCTCTAATCTGCTATTCTTTAAGCAATTTGGCTTCAATTTTCTGGCTTTTATCGCATTACCATCCATTTCCTCTCTCTAACCATCTCTTTTGTGACCCTTTTGGCCTCACTCTATAAGGGTTTTCTTCTTCTTCTTTTTTTCTTTTAGAAAAAATTTCTCTATTAGGCATTCTCGCTCTCAACTTTTATTCGGCTTCTCTTCTTTTGTGGACTATGTGGGATCTGATCGCATTTGAATGCTATTTTGGGTTTTCAGGCAGCTCGTTTCTCAGTCTTCACTGTTGGGCTGGTTTATGGAAGCCTTAAGCTCTCTTATCTCAAGGTAATCCCCTTTCTTTTACCACAATTCTCTATTTTGTTCCCCTGCTTTTACTTTGGATTTTCTATTGTTTTGTTTATGAGAATGGTGGGTGTGCTTCTTTGGAAATGATGGTAGGAAAAGGACCTCTGTGTTATGCTTCTGATATGTATTCTTATTTGATTTGATTGTTGTCTTGGTGTGGTTCTTATTCTGGTTTCTGTGTATTTTTTGAATGTTTGTTGCCTAATGTTCTGGACTAACTAGATTTTGGGGTTGAACTCTTGAAGTTTAATTGTGGTAAATTGTGAAGATTGTGGTGTACTTTTCGGCGTTTCTTCTTCTCCTTCTGCTCCTTGTTAACCTATTCAGGACTTGATGAACGCTAAACTGATTTTAGATAGATTAATCTCATTGAGGTTTATGGGGCGTTGATTTTGTTGGTTAATAGAAAGCGCATGCTGGAAAGCTTCTGGAAATGTCAGAAGTCAACCTGTTTCGACAATAGCAAGTTTTATAAATGAAAAACTCAAGATGCGTTCGAAATTTCTGTTTCTATAATTTAATGTTGATTTGACTAGTATACAGTTTCTTCCACTGTGTTACTTTTGTGGCATGACTTTAGGGGAATACATGAGTTTCATCTTACTAAATTATTCACACATATTGCTAGAAATAATCTTCCTTGTCCATCCACTTTTGAATGAAACTTGGGAATTGAACAATTAGATGTAGCTTGGACATCAGACAATCCATACAACTTCTTTCTTGAGTTACTGAACTTTTTATCCATCAAATTTTTTTAATATGTAGATCGTTTTATATGTAAAAGAATTGCAGATTGTTGGAAATCCACCAATTTTTTTTGGTTGTGTATATAATTCAGATCTATTTTGTTTTGGCAGTGTCATATGGTTTTGATGATTGTTCAATCCGATTCTGGCCAAAATTCAATATTTTTGTGCTATATTGCTATATGGGGTATATTTTTTCATTGATGGACTTCTAGCCATAAAGGATTTTGTTGAGCCTATTCTCACATTCAATCTACTACATTCCAATTATTTGTTCGGGGTATTGATTTGTGGAAGACCTATTCAACTTTAGTTACAAATATAAAAGAATACCCATCTCCTTTGAGGACTATTCAGGTATATCAGCATACCTACAAGTGCTTTCTGTACACTCAGATAGGCTTTTGGTCCATAGTAATGGAGATAAGGTAGATCAATCTTAAAAGATTTGTTTCTCATGAGATCCATTGAATGCAATTGTTTCCAAGAACTTGATAAAAGTTCACATGCTTGGGAAAATTACTCCGGAAAAGTATTTTATGAAAAAGAATTCACGCCTGCCCATATGATTCTTCTTAAACAAGTTCTAGAAGAAACTTTATGATCCTTGAGTTATGATCTTCTTCATTCATTTTTCAGCATTACTATGCAAAATCTTTGTTGTCCTTCTGAAGACAGGAATGTTTCCTTTTTCAAGCATTATGATGCAAATCATCTTATTTCCTTTTTAAAATGAAAAGTAAATATATTAGTAGGATAAATATTACTTGCAGAAGAAATATTACTTCTCCCAAATCCCAATATCATTCTTCCTAAATAGTACTCCCCAAAATTTTCAAATTAAATATCAAAAAATAAATAGGATAGATCAAGCTAACTATAGAAAGTGGAATTTTTTTTTTTCCGAGGGAAGGGGGGGGGGGGGGGGTGGGATTGTTTCAAACATTGGTCCTGAGGCTCATCTGAGTCAATGACATGCTAGTGCTGAATCCTGTCATTCCAAAAAGCGAAAATAAGACTCAGATGAATCTACACAGCCTCGTCAAGTTTATAATTCTCTTTCTTGTGATTTCACTGCAACCATAGATTAAAATTCATTCTTTTTTGGTTTCCTACCTTTTATTGCTATTCATTGCTTGTGCTTTTAATTCAAGCTTTGTTCGATGTTTTTCAATTTCTATACTCTTTGATTTTAAAATTTTAGATTGATTTGTTTAGCTCTTTTATTTGGTCCCCCATCATGCTGATATTTTTCAATACTATATGTAGCAATTTTACTGGTTGTACATATGCTTGGGAACTGCGTCATTTGACAAAGAATCCATTCTGAATTCTCATGATTGCTAGATGTGATATCTTATTTTTTCTTGATCGACTTCTCAATGTAATAAGTTGGTGAATTTTTTTTTGTTCTCAATTTTGTTTTGAACGTGTTTTGAAGAATATGGTGATAATTTAGCAATAAAAGAATATAATGGTTCTCCTTAATGAACTGAAAAGCCCATAATATGTAATAACAGATATAAATGGTGTAGTGTAAGTGCCCTTAAAGATGGATAAATGCTCAAAAATCTCTTCAAATGCTAAGAAAAGTATGTTAAAAGAATAGAACTGTAAACTCAAGTTACAGGGAGGTTCAAATTTTTGGACAATCTTATGTAGCCAACGATATGAGGCTAAGCGAATAATTTTGCAATGTTTGGCTCAGGAAAAGGTCATGAGGACCGGTGTTATCGACAACTAACTTCTCTAGAGTGGACTCTTTGTACTTGTAAAAGGCTGGAATTGTCTTAGAAATCGTTCTTATATTGTCACAATTAAAGAGTGAGCAACCCACACAATCTTTTGAGTTAGAGCATCACATCCAAGTTAACCATATTTTATGTTTGGTTCTTGTAGAAAGTGAGTGACCAAGCGCGACAAATGTAGCCTCGTTTAGTACTGGCTAATTGATAAGCTGTGATCGGGATGGACTCCAGGGGAGTGGAATGAACCAGTTCATATTTATGGATGGCATGGTGATATTTGATCAAGTCATGCAGAGGTGTACAACTTGCTAGTAATCTATAGATTGGATAAGGTTCACATTTATCTCTTATGGGGATATTAGTAGTTTTGTTGGGCTCCAAACGCCCTCTCACTATAATACAGAATCTCTAAAGTGGATTTTGTTTGCCTTTGTGACTGAGTATGAAACACTTCGGGAGCACTCTAGGCGTGGACTAACCATTTTCCCCAACATATATGTATGTGTGTGTCTATGAAGAAGTGGAAACAATAAACACAATAAAAACAAGAAACCCATAACCGAATACACGAAATTTAATGTGGTTCGCCCTTATGGACTATGTCCAAGGGAGAGAGATAGTCAAATCCTCTATGTAAATCTAATGGTACTATGCTTGACCAAAACAAATGCCTAATCTCCTAAACATCCAATTTCTTCTCCTTTCTCTCTTAACCAAGGATCTAAGTGTGAGGAGAGATACAGGCAATTTGGAGCTCTCTGTAAGAGTCTATTCAATCTCCTCTTGGGTCTCAATCTAGGTGTCTCTCTCTCTCTCTCTCTCTCTCTCTCTCTCTTCAAGAGGCTCTCTACTCTCTTGGTTTCTCTACTTTGATTAGGATAGCATTGACTTGTCCATTATCTTATCTATACACTAGGTTATCAACCCCAAAATCTGTGGTTCCAATTTATGTCCCACCTCATTAACATAATATTGTGGGGGTCCGATGTCCTTATCTTTATTGGAATGGCTGGGGTCCTATCTCCTCATGAGAAAGGAACCTCAAAAATCTCTCCCTCTTGTCTCTTGAGTAGCAGATTACCTCAGTTCTCATATGGCACCCATTCTAACCGTGCTTTTACACAGCTCTTGCTCATCCTTAGCGTCTTTCTCGTCATATTTGATGCATGCTTGTCAATATAGATCTTCTCAAGCTGTAGTAACTTATTTTCTAGGACATCCTGAATCCACTGGTAATGCACGACAATGTGCTTTGTCCTGTAATGGAAGCTTGCATTCTTGCTCAAGTGGACTGTACTTTGACTCGCATAGTGTGTAATATACTTGTTATGTTTCAAGCCTAACTCTTGGAGGAATCTTTTCATCCACAGCATCTCCTTGCTAGCTTCTCTGACTGCATTGTAGTCGGGCTCTGAAGTTAACAGACTGCACAGTTCTGCAACTTCGATTCCCATGATATGGCTCCCCCCTGCAAAAGTGAATATGTATCCCGAGGTTGATTTTTTTGGAATTAACATCTTAAGCCATTCGTGCATCTGTGTGACCTTTTAGCACAAGTTTTTGTCCTCCAAAGCTCAAACACGCTTTGTATGATCCCTTGAGATATCTTAGGATCCGCTCCTCTGCTGCCAATGCTCCTTGCTTGGATTGGCAATGTTTTTTGCTTACCAGACCAACTGCACCAGCAATGTCCAACCTCATGCATAGGGATTTCTCTCTATTTCTTTTTTCTCCTCATTTGAAGGCCTTCTTGTGGCACTTTGCTTAAAGTGATCATTAAGGGGGCAACTGATAGGTTTCCTTTGTCCAAATTGAACCTTTTATTTAGTCACTTTCTCGATGTATCTTTCTTGTGATGGTCATAGCTTCCCGACCCTCCTATCATAAGAGATCTTTATGCCCAAGATTTGTTGTTCTTGTACTAAGTCCTTCAAATTAGATGACTGAACTTGTCAATTTTGTCAATATCATTTACAACAATCTACATGACATCAATGTAAAGTAAAAGGATACTGTAATGACCTTCAAAAACGTTTTATCCATTATCCCGCATGAAGGAAGGAACTTCTTGTACCATTGCCTTGGGGCCTATTTCTACCCATATATGCTCTTATGTAGCTCCAAATCATGTGCTATGTGCCTTTTATTTTGAATCCTTCTGGCTGCTCCATATATATTTCTTCCTCCAAATCACAATGGAGAAAGGCAATTTTGACAACTAATTTCTCAACTTCTACATTCGTGCTTGCAGCCAAGCCCAAGACCCCATAGGTGGAAGACATCTTCACTATAGGAGAAATTTTCTCATCAAAATTGATGCATGTTTTTTTATTATCAAGAAAAAAAATCAATGCCTGTTTTTGCCTGAGACTTTCCACAACACGCCTTGCGTTATACCTTGGTTACGATCTCTTTTATTCAACCTTCAACCCAAATACGTACGTCATAGGTGTGGATCTTATACAAGGAATCCATCTCCTCT